CTATAGAAGTCAATGGTTACCAGTTTCCAGCATTCTTCAAAATATCTTCTTTTTGTGTCCAGGAGAATAAACAAACTCAAACAGGTCTTGAACAGGTGATGAGAGAGTAAAAATGACAGTTTTCATTTTTGAGCGAATAATTAGTTTAGAGGACATTTTGACATTGTTAACTCTATTTTAGTGCTTTTAATGACTTGATATTAATATTTCAGGTTCTTCTGCTTTTGTTTTTATATTAACTCACTTCAGAGGATGTATCATGTCCTCTCCTCTCCGTCGGCCACCATTTCGGCTCTTGCTGCTCTGGCCGCCCATAAAGCCGAACAGACCTCCACCAAAGATGTGAGAGAAGATGTCCTCCATTCCGGCTCCGCCACCACCACCCTCACGCAGACCCTGTTCCCCATAGCGATCATACAAGTCCTTCTTCTCCGGGTTGGTCAGTACCTCATACGCAAAACTGATCTCCTTAAACTAACATAAAAGAACAGAATGTTGAATTACAAGTATTACTTCGTTAATGGCTTTCAGAACTTGTGTTTTTATAAAATGAACATTCACCTTGTCACCTGCATTGGGGTTTTTATCAGGGTGGTATTCTTTTGCCAATTTCCGATATGCCTAAGAAAATGAAAACACAAAAAACATCACTTATTAGTACTTATTATAACAAGCAGTATTAATACTCAGAGACAGAGTCAAGTTTGATACTCTGTCTGAGTAAAGATCATCTACTACTGATTTACAATGACACAAAAAAGAAAATACTGTGGTAAATACTAGGCATGCTCTGATCAGGATGTTTGCAGCCGATACAAAGTACTGATTCCTTGTCATGGTGATCGGCCGATACAGAGGTGCATAAAGCACATTTTCCCTCTAAGTATAATACTTAAGTGGAGATCTCTCCTTACCTCAGAGAATTTATGAAGGATGCTGTATATAATCCCTTAAACATGTCTCTTATAACCATTTAGTGTGGACATCTCATAATCAGAAGCAGCTTTACAGAAAATAATAGATCAAACAGATGGAAACATTATAAGAAAAATGACTAACAAAGCAATCTAACAACTAACAAAGCAGCTGGATAATCATTGGCCAATAAAAGTCATTCCAATAAGCTGTATAAACAGAGGCCGCACCACATATATGTGTTTTAGCTGCTGTGTTGGGCCGCAGCGCTCACTCCCACCCCCCAAACACCATTTACCTCCTCACGTGTTGTAGCACTGCTGATGTGCGCATGTGCATCTTCCTCTGCATGTAAACAACCCCCTGCAATCGGTTCATGAGATCGGCCAGATAGGCGAGTACCAATCGAGTCTTCATGAAAAGTGATTATCATATGATACGGATTTCGAGCCGTTCGATCGGAGCATTTGTTGTAGGGCTGGGTAATTAATCGGAAAAAAATCGACATTCAGAACCTTTAATCGATCTAATTTTTCCAGGATGATTTTTTTAAATTACCTTTACACTTCTGTGGCCACTTAGCAGCCACATCTGATCTCTGGTCAAGTAGGACGATAGACCCATTTGTAAGCCTTACTTTGCACTACACTGGTGATGATTGGAAGCTGCAAAGGAGATGCCTTTAGATGTTGATGTTGATTAAATAATCATAATTAGTAGATAGTGTGCTTTCCTTCAATTAATCTAAAATCAAGTAATGCACCCTTACTTATTATATTTATTTATTTATACAAAATCTGACTTCCCAGAGATGGGTTGCAGCTGGAAGGGCATCCACTGCTTAAAACGTGCTGGATAAGCTGGCGGTTCATTCCGCTGTGGCGACCCCGGATTAATAAAGGGACTAAGCCGAATGGAAAATGAATGAATGAAAACCTGACAGTGAACTATGAGGGCAAAAAAAATAAATAATAAATAAAATAATCGTTCATTAATCATAATCGAGTTAAAATGTTCCATTAATCGAGATTTTGATTTTAGGCCAAATCTCCCAGCCCTAATATCTAGTAAATACTATTCTAAAGTAGTATTAATAGTCTAATACTTTCCTAAAGGTAACCAAATAACCATCTGGCAACTACCCAGTTTACCCTAGCAACCAAATAGAGCAAAATGCTTTGATTTATAATTCATTTATAACTATCCAATTATAAATGCTTTATAAATAAACAATTTAATTAGAAAGTAAACATTTTATTATGTTACTAAAAGTAATAATGAAAGTGACAAGTTACATAATTTTTTTATGTATACATTGGGTCTTCCACAATCAAAATTATTAATTAAAAAAAGTTACATAATTTTAAAATATTATGCGTGTCAAACTTGAATTAAACATTCCCAAATCCCAATCCTGGTAATACATTTTATAGTCATAATATTAAACACTTTAACAGCATTAAATTTGCTTTCTACGTATATTAAAAAAGTATCACATTTTCATATACAAGAGCAATTCCATGCAAATGTTAACTTTGCCATAAAAGAAATTTTGTTTTTGCAATAAATGTTGAAACTGTTTCTGTGTTTTTTGTGTAAGCAACTATTTTACAGTGCTTTAAAAATACTCAAAAATGTCTCCGTTAATGTTTTCAAGGAATTAAATTTGATTTACCAAAATCACACAAGAGCCAATTTCGCACCTGTCACATCCATAACGCAGGGGTGTCACATCAATAACAAAGCTTTTTCCTCATTAATGCAAAAATGTCAAATAAAATAAAATCAATCGTTTTTGTTCTATAGTGAGCCAACTCTTATGCTTTTGATTATCATTATTTATTTTGGGTTTTGCAGTTTCATTCACAGAATTTTTACAAAGTATGTGGTAGACTGTAAACTCGCAACCTTTTTTGTCACATCCATAACACATGCTTATTTTCCTCATTTAAAATATAGAAAATGGTTACAGATTGATATTTTTCTGGTCCTTCAACTGGTTAACATAACATAATGTTAACAAACTTTCTCTGTGAATTTAGGTTTTGAGACTTTTCTGCAAACGTCACATCCATAACGCTGGAAATGCTCACTATCAATTTTATACTATACTATAAAATATAAATATTTATGCTGACAACAAAATAGGAGGTCTCATCAGTAATTATATAGCACGTCACAAAGCTTAAAATTTGGTTGAAAACCTTTCTAATTTGAACTCTTGCTCCCCTACAAATTAAACTAATGCCATATGCCATTACTGAGCCAAAGACCCCAATCCCCCTCCCCAACATCTGACTGATCAAAGCAAGCAGATTTCAGAGCTTGAACAAAACCCATCAGGCCATTTCCCTCTAAGCACATCACATGGCATTGTGCCTTTTCTTCAACCTACTGGCTTCAAATTCACAGAAGTATTTCCTTCATGTAGATCTAGTGTGTGTGATACCTCCTGATAACCCACATAACTGAAGATCTCGCTCTGAATTCTGAAATCCTTTGTGTGCACACTGTCAACAACAACAACAAAAGGCCAACAGAACACTCAAAAACAACCTGAGCATTAAAACTAGAGCCTGTTTACCTTCCATACAAAGGACTGAACACAAACATTGAATGATTCTCATCTAGAAAATAGCCAACACAACACGTTCACACTGGATTAAGCATCACTAGGTCAAAGCATATGAGCTGGTTAGCTAAGCATCTACGCTGAACTGGAGCAGCACCTTTCAGCTGTCCGCAGCACCTGGCTAGCAGACTTACGACACTACAAATGATAAACAAAGCACAATTTTGACGGATTATCTCCCAGATCCATCCCTAAATCATTCAGATGAAGGCCTCAGTTGAGGATTTGAGCAAAACACAGCAGCAGCTCCCAACACGCAGCATCTATTCCGCGTCACGCGCATCTCCGGTTTTATAACTTACACGATACGCAGGGCGGAAAACCGCGCGTCTAAGGTTACCTTTTTGAGCTCGTTTTCGGAGGCTGACGGAGATACTCCGAGGAGGTCGTAGAGTTTTGTGTCTGCGACGTTCGCCATGTCTGCAGACCCAGTGCAGCAGCTGCGCGAGGAGGAGCGGAGAGAGCGAGAAAAGCCGGCTGCGTGACGTCACGTGCGCGCGCGCGTCTGACAGGGCGGTGCGCGCACTCGCTTGCACTCCTGCGCCACACCAGTGTTTGTTTTATATATTAAACGAATGAAACATATTTAAACATATATTAAACATTCTCTGTTCCTATTTTGTAGATGGTTTATTGCCATACGATGCCTCGAGTATAAAAATAAAAAGTCTTGAAAATCTCCTAGTATCCGAGGACGATTTTAATTTAACGTTAATTTCTGGTTTATTTTTCTACAAATGTCTTTTTAAAATCTAAATAAAGGATTTTAAAAGTTTAATATTTAATCGTTCGCCTTAATTCATTTAATTAGATGAGGAAAAACGCCAAATGGTTTAAGTAACCACAATAAAGTTAAATTTAAAGTTACACTGCATTATATTATATAGTAAGTTCATGTATTTTTGTAATGTACAATTAAATATTACATTAAATATGTAAATGTGTATGTTTTTTTATTTTAATAAATTGTAATAAGATGTAATAAATTGAAACTATGTATGATTTTAAAATATAATTTTATGTTGGTGCATTTGTTTGTTTATTTTAAAAACTTTTTAACTATATATATATATATATATATATATATATAGTTAACAAGTTTTTAAAATAATATATAATAATAATAATAGTTTTTAATATATATATATATATATATATATATATATATATATATATATATATATATATATATATATACTAAAATAAATGTAATATTTTATTTTACATATACATAAAACAAATAAAAATTACTTCTGTTTAACATAATATTCAAATACATAATTTCCTTTAATTTCCGAGTAAAAATAGAAATATAAGAAATATATTATAGAAGCATGATATAATATTATTAGATTGAATATATATAATAAGGGTATAATTATTTTATTAAAGTAACCATTTAAAACTATTTAAAAAGACAATTAAAAACACATTAACCATTAAAAAAACATTTTAAAAGAAATGTCCTCATATCCTCAAACATTTCTAATGTTACAGTCCTTCAATAATTAACAGGAGCGGTATTTTCCCTTCCACAAAACTGATTGTAAATGGAACCGATCCCCAGGCGCGTCCACACGCACATCATCATGCGCGTACACGTCTCATGGTCGGCCATTTTGACTTGAGAAATAATGTCAAAATCTTTTTCTGCTCACAGTTTAAAGCTCTGAAGGGGCCCTTGTTGAGGCAGGGCTGGTGAAGGAGGGAGGACACCGGGGATCTGTGGATGCAGGACGATGCATCGCACACCGAATTTCAGCACATCTCCTCTCTGACAGCCTCCAGGACAGCTCTGATCACAGATTGCTGTTTGTCTGACATCTCCAAGTGTTTCTGGTAAGTTCACAGCAGTTCATTTGTTGACTGTAGTGTTATTTAATACCGTTAATGTGGCAGTCGATCATTTCCGATTGACATAGCAAGCGCGTTTATGACCTGCATATGGACCCACGTGACATCACGAGCAATTATTAAATAAAAAACTAAGATTATGTTAAACAGAAATGCATTTCACCTTGAAGTGTGTGCTCGTATTACAGCCTTCGAATATTCAAATAAAATAGCTGTGCGTGTTGATATGGTCTCGACATGCTTCTTGAGTATGTTTACTTTAGTTTATGCAAATGATTTTAATACGAATTGAACGCTTTTGGCAGAGGAGGCATTTGTAATGCTTTGCAACATCCAGTAAACGGCATGCAAATTCCCAGCGTTCTGATTGGTGCGCAGAGTCTCGCCTCTGCGTTCTGATTGGTGGATTCATGGACAGTGACACTGAGCGACGCCTCTCTGTGTGTCTGTCTGACATTGATCTTGAACGAAGGATTTGATTTCGCCTCGTTGAGTTAAAGACGTTTACTGTGTATTTTAGTGGAAAATATCGTGGTAATGAGGGGAACTGTACAGACGCCAGATTGTCATTGAATACTCGTAGAATCACGCGACCGTGGGCGTGAAGTGTGTGTTGGACTCGTTGGACTGTATGATTTGATCTTTCTCACACACACATGTTGATCTCTGCAGCATTTCTGCATTCACCAGAACACACAGTAAAATAAACTCAGATGAATTTAGATATTTAGGCAAACATTCACATTTAAATACATGTATGTTTGTGTTTTTTATTTCTATTTTGACCTTTTACTATCTGCTTGTCTATATATTTTTCTGTTGTTCATTCTACCCTTTCTATTTATCTATTCTATCTGTCTATCATTGTATTCTGTGTATCTGTCATTTTATTGACCCATCATCTATCTGTCTGTCTGTAATTAACATAATTATATACAATGGTATGTAATAAAACGACAGATATTTCTGTCAATTTAGGGAGATAGATTGTTGTTTTCCCATGTCTGTCTCTTGGCCTTTCAATTTATCTGTCCGTCTGTCATTTCATTGTTTTGACAGCCTGTCTTTCTGTCAGTTTTATTATCTATCTATCTATCTATCTATCTATCTATCTATCTATCTATCTATCTATCTATCTATCTATCTATCTATCTATCTATCTATCTATCTATCTATCTATCTATCTATCTATCTCTATTGTTCTATATCATTCAATTGTTCTATGTATTGTTATAACATTCAATTGTACTATCTAATATTCTATCTTACTATCTATTATACTATCTATCGTTCTATCTAATGTTCTCTCATTCTATCTATCGTTATAGTTCTATGTATCATTCTGTTGTTATATCTTACGTTCTATTGTTTTATTTAACGTTTTGTTTTTATCTTTTGCTCTATTTAACGTTCTATTGCTGTATCTAACATTCTATTGCTCTAGCATTCTATCAATCGTTCTATGTAGTGTTCTATTGTTCTATATATCGTTCTATTGTTTTATCTAACATTCTATTGCTCTATCTGTTGTTCTATCCAACATTCTATTGTTCTATCTAACATTCTCTCACTCTTAAGGTTCTATCTAATGTTCAATCGTTCTATCATACTATCTATTTTTCTATCTATTGTTCTATCTGTCATTCTAGTGTTCTGTCTATCGTTCTATTGTTCTATCTGTTTTTATTTAACACTGTCATTCTATCTATCCTTCAAGCTAACATTCATTCTATCTATCGTTCTTAATGTTTTAATATTCTATGTATCATTCTATTGTTCTAACATTCTATTGCTCTCTATCTATCTATCTATCTATCTATCTATCTATCTATCTATCTATCTATCTATCTATCTATCTATCTATCTATCTATCTATCTATCTATCTATCTATCTATCTATCTATCTATCAATTTATTGTTCTATCTAATGTTCTATCGTTCTGTCTAACATTCTATTTAATGTTCTATCGTTCTATCTAATGTTCTATCGTTCCGTCTATTGTTCTATCTAATGTTCTGTCTATCATTCTATTTAATGTTCTATCATTCTATCTATTGTTCTATGAATTGCCATTGTGTATGAAATGTGCTATATAAATAAACTTGCCTTGCCTTGCCTTGCCTATCTATCATTCTATCTGATGTTCTATTGTTCTATCTAATGTTCTATCGTTCTATCTATCGTTCTATCTAATTTTCTATCGTCCTAACATTCTTTAGTTCTATAGTTCTATTTATTGTTTTATCTATCATTCTACCTATCATTCTATCTATCGTTCTGTCTATCCTTCTATCTAATGTTCTGTCTATCGTCCTATTTAATGTTCTATCTAACGTTCTATCATTATCTAACGTTCTATCATTCTATCTAATGTTCTGTCTAATGTTCTATCGTTCTATCTAATGTTCTATCTATCCTGCTATCTGATGTTCTATCGTTCTATCTAATGTTTTATCATTCTAGTATCTATCATTTTATCTAACAATCTTTCATTCTTGTAACGGTATGAATTTTTCACGGTATGATAATCGTCTAAAACAATACCACGGTTTGACGGTTTCGCGGTATACGGTATGTTACAAATGTTACAAAATAATAGAACAGTGAAGCAAATTTGACTTTTTCCAAATAATATATTTTTAGTTACTATAAACAACACCACTTACAATGAACAAATAAAAATAAGAAAATAATAAATAATGTGTCAAAGTCCAAATAAAGTCCAAATAAACATGGTGCAAATCCTCAGTAAAAAAATAGATATACATATTTACTATACTATAAATAGTTACATAACGAAACTAGATTCAATATGGAACATCCTTAGGTTTTATGTGCCAGCATGGATATGGTTGTCTGTGGATATGGATTTGGATATGGTTGTCTGCAATGCAGACAAACAGCTGCATCTTCATTTGCGTCTTTTGAAAACAGCAAGAGCAGCAGTTCGTCTTTGCTGTGTCACTGTTTTGTCATGTTTCTGTGCTGCTGTGCATGCAAAAGTACTTAGTATGAGAATTATTTCATGCAAAACTTTTTTTTTTTTTTGCGTTTTATTTAGCCGCGCATAAATGTATGCCTATCTCTCATTCCGTGTTGTTCAAAAAGCTCATTGTTTGGTCCACAAACAAAAGCGAAACCTATGCTTATTGGTTGTGATATAGCGAGTTTGAACCAATCTGGGCATGGAGGAGGGACAATGCATCAATGTATCATGTCTGATTTGTCCGGAGACACAGTGACGAGCGTTTCTTTGTCAAATCAGCGTTGTCAAATGTTGATGACGTAACCGCACTGATTCCGGAGCCTCTGAAAGTCTGCGAATGTTATGTGATACAGCACTGGAAAGCTGAGATTCTCTTCTTAATGCCAATCTTTGAATTGTATGAATCGGATCAGCGGATCAAAAGTTATTAAACATTTAAGAGCAATACTTATTTTTAGCCGCGGGCGGCTGTCTCGGTCTTTAAGGGTTAAAACCGTTGATATGCAATTGTTCATGGTATGATAATCGTGCACGTTCAAATCGTGGTAAACCGTCATACCGGTATATTGTTACAACCCTAAATTCTAACATTCTATCATTCTATGTATCGTTCTATTGTTCTATTTATTGTTCTATCTATCATTCTATCTATTGTTCTCTCTGTCGTACTGTTGTTCTCTTTATCATCCTATTGTTCTATCTAGCATTATATCGTTTAAGCTAACAATTTATTTATCGTTTCATCTAATGTTCTGTCTATCTACCTCTGTCTGTTTTGTCATTTTATCTATCATTTTATGGTTTGATTGTTCACTCTGTCTATCTCTATCATTCTGTTTAATGATGTCTAATGCTGCAGAAGTCATAAGCATTATTTATATATTCAATAGTACATATAAAAGTGAATATAATCTTGTATAACGAGTCATACAGTGTCTGTAGGTGCTAGAACTCTGCTGACACATGATTTTCATCTTTATAAATGAGTGTGTGTTGTAAATAGATGGATTACAGTAATGTGATGTAGTCTAGGAGGTTGGCGTCTGACCTCACATCCGCTCCAGAATCTGATTAATCCTATTATAAGACTTAAAAAAAAAAAAAAAAAAAAAGAGTATGCTGCTTTCTGTGGGTGTGCGAGCAGCTTCTCGTGTGCTTAAACAAGAGCCCAAATTCAGGTCGTATTATTGGACCGTGATGTGGCTTAATTCAAATGTGCATGTCATGCTTCTCTGGCTCATCTGATGGCCTGGGTGTCTCATTGCTCTTGGTCATTTCTTGATGACTTGTCTTTGTGTCTTGTAGGTGTTGTGAGACGGCCCCAGTGGATGGATGTGCTATCTGACCACTGACCACTGAAAAACCAGTGTGTGTAAACTGGTCTCTGCATCTCAACTGAGGAAACCCATTATCTGGCTGAAGGTAATTTACTCTTTAATTTGTTGCTTATTGAGTGAATAGGAAACATTCACAGCATTATCTGCTATGTAATTGGCTGATTAAATATTTATGTTAAAGTCTGTGTAAAATCAAAATGTACAATGTTTATTTATTACTAGGGCTGTCAAATGATTAAATAAATTAATGTAATTAATCACACTTTTTTTGTAATTAATCATGATTAATCACGGAACGCCTTATTTATTACTGAAATAAAAACTTTCCCTGGTCCTATCTAAAATTCAAATGGCATGTAAGTGCCATTTGAATTTCAAAACAATCAATGCCAATAACAAACAAAAAGGATTTCCATGTTGGATTCTAAGTGGACTACACACACACAGATTCATCAACGTGCACAATCGCGTTTATCAAATTTGCTTAAACTAAGCGTTCTAAACTATGGATGTATTTTACAAGCAAGGATTCTGACACAGCAACGTGAAGCAGACGCTTTACAAAGGTTGCGTGTAGGGGGAAACATGTCAAACATATGAAATGTGAGGGCTCCTGGAAGTAGCTTAAAGGCAGAGAATTGGGCTGTCTTTGACAGGTTGCAACTTCATCTGCCACTTTTACTGAGTACATTTACATGGACACCAATACTCCGCTTTTATGATTAAGATAATATTGATTAAGAGTCTACCATGTAAGCAGCGGTTTTTGATTACCTTAAAGGATCACGCGAGTCCTGAAATGCGGAGGTTTTTGTTTCCGTTCGCCATGCGGTATCAAATTCTATTAAAACATCCTGAATGATAATATGCTGAATGAGAGTGAACTGCTGAACTGCAGTTACAGTCTAAAGAATAAAAATGAAATACCCGAAATTGCATGAAACTCTGGAGGAAAAGCAGGATAGCCTGGTGATGCGACATTAATTGTTTTATACTCCTTCTTAAAGCGTGTCCTTGGTCTTATCCAAATTTCTTTGCACATTAATCAAACGCAGGGCCAAAGAAAGCTGATCTGGCACTCTAGGCAAATGGCAATCACTCCGACCTCAACCCGAAAGTGACTGGTTCACGGATGAAAGTGAAGGCTGATTTATACTTTGCGTCAAACACCGGCGTATGCTATGGCGCTGACGCATAGCCCTTGGCCGTGGCCGTCGCCGTCACTGACGTGCACCTCTCAAAAAATGTAACTACACGTCGCAACGACGCGTAGCGTAAGCTCTGTGATTGGTCGGCTTGGTAGCGCTGACGAGTTTGGGCGGGACCGAGAGCCGCGCGAATGGCGCGAACGATTGTTTACAAGTGTGGAGTCCCGTGAAGGAGCTCCGGATGGAAAGTTTTGTTTTGTGTTTACTTCATAGTTAAAGTTGTTGCACGTCCACCGTTTCCTGCCTCAAAATGAGCGAGTTTGAGCCACTTGTACATCCCAGAAGTGTTCAGGAAAAGCAAAAAAGCAGCGAAGAAACTCGACACATAGGAACATTCACACCTCACTGCCAACTAGCATTTCGGAAGTGTTAATGCAGACTGACAGAGACAGCGCGCAGAAGTATAAATGCACAGCCACACGCGTTGCATGCACCGTGGGTTACGCCGGTCACCTGACGCAGAAGTATAAATCAGGCTTAAGGACCGTGAGGGAGGGGGTGGGTGTAGAGGATGAAAGTGAGCACCGGGGGGTTTGCTCACTATTCTGCTGCCCAAGGCCTAGGTCGCCTCCATGCACACGCCGTCCCTGAACACACGTCAGCCACAACAGGAAATAAAAAAAACTGCAACTGTGTTATTTGCGTTAATTTTTTTATAAGCGTTAAATAATTCAAATTAATCACATGCGTTAACGCGCTAATTTTAACAGCCCTATTTTTTACACTTCATGGCAGATATTTGATTAAAAATGGAGAAATATAAAATAAATATGACTAAATTGTAAATCACTTAATCACCAAATCACTTTATGATCACTAAATAAAATGTAAAATGTAAATCTTGTACTTTCAAGATTGCAACTTTCCCATGATGCTGTTATTCATGGGTCTGTCTGCATCCCTGTAATGGATTTTAACATTGCGCTCAAATAATTGATGAAAAAGTCTTTGAAAACGTCTTTGCCAGGTTCACAGAACATAATATTTTACTAGATGTTTTTCAAGGTGCTAGTTTTCAGCTTAAACTGACATTTAAAGGCTTACCTGAGGTACATTAGTGTAATTACACTGCAAAAAATGCTTTTCTTGCTTAGATTTTTTTGTCTTGTTTCTAGTCTAAATATCTCAAATTTCTTATATCAAGAAGAATTTTCTAGATAAGCAAAACATATTGTCTTGTTTTGAGAAATAATATGCCAATATTAAGTGAGTTTTCCCTTAAAAGAAGCAAAATAATCTGCCAATGGGGTAAGCTAATTTTTGTCTAGTAACGCCCCCGACTTTACTGTATATATTGTCACATTGCACAGCCCTATGAGTGACTAATAGCTGCTCTCTGTCTGTCTCAGGCTCTCTCTCTCTCCCCCCTCTCTCTCTCCTATAGACTGCAGGCATGTTCTGGAAGTTCAACCTAAACAACTCCTCTCAGGTGGAGAAGCTTTTGGAGAAGGAGGATTTGACTCTGCTGGAGCTGCTGGATGAAGATGACGTCCTGCAGGAGTGCAAGGCTCAGAACCAGCGGCTGCTCCTTTTCCTCACGCAGGACAGCAGCATCCTGGAGTTGGTCAACCTCATCACGCACGAGCCCCCTGCTGACCGGGAGGAGAAACTGCGCTATAAGTGAGTGCAGAGATGCTCTGGATTATCAACACTTCATAAGCGCATCTGAAATAAAGTGGCTTGAAGCTTGGATGAAAATACAGTAGTCGACATTTGAAGTGGTATCATCAAAACATTTCATCAAAATCCTGAACAACACCCATTTCTGTTTTAGGACAATTTTTGATCCACTTTAAATGTTGACCACTGTACATATTGATCAGTAATGCAATGTAGGGCCAGATTATTTTAACAGGTGATTTTGAAATGATTAGATCTTACTAAAAAGCATTTTAGGCCATTTTAATTAAAGATTAACCAATATTGATATTACTTCTGTGACCCATAACCATGAGGTGATCTATAACCATGGAGCGACACGGTGGCTCAGTGGTTAGCACTGTTGTCTCACAGCAAGAAAGTCGCTGGTTTGAGTCCCACCTCGGCAAGTTGGCATTTCTGTGTGGAGTTTGGATGTCCTCCCCGTGTTGGCGTAGGTTTCTCCGGTTTCCCCCATTGAATTGAATTAACTTAATTGGCCGTAGTGTATGTGTGTGTAAATGCGTGTGTATGGGTGTATCCAGTATTGGGTTGCAGCTGGATGGGTATCCGCTGTGTAAAACATATGCTGGATAAGTTGGTGGGTCATTCCGCTGTTGCGACCCCTGATACATGAAGGGACAAAGCCGAAGGAAAAAGAATGAATGACTCTTTAACCATGGTTGTTGCTAGGCCGATTTTAAGGTTTGGGCTAAAATTTGACTCGCCCCCTAAACCCCCCTCTCTTTTGCCTCTCAATTATTTGCATGTTAATGTGCCCAATGTGTTTGTTGTAGTTCCTTCAATGCAGTGCTCTTGTGTGCAAGTACAACTAAATCCATCTAAATAAATAAATAAACACTTAATATTTTATAATAATACATCCTAATAAGTTAAATCTAAATATTTATTTGTTTGATTTTTATTTTTTTTTATTCATAGATTAATAACCGAGGTTAATAATTATTCAGTATGCATCCTTGTGTTAAGTATTATTTTTTATGCTGTTTTAATATTTTATATTTATATGATCTGTTATTGGTTTTGTTTTAGTTAGCTGTTTAAGAGCATACGTTATGTGTCCTAATTTTTTTCCGTTAGATGTTCTGTCAAATTCTATTAATTCTAGAATAAATTCTATATGAGTAATATGAAACGTTCTGTTCTGTTAACGTTACATGTTAAATACTTTAGTTTGACTTTAACTTATTTTTTTTTGTAATTAAGTTTTATTTTATTACTTCAGCTACATTATACATGTATGTGTACATTGTAATTGATCAATTGGAAAAGTGGCAGAAGGTAGACTTATCTGATGAATCATCTTTTGAGCTGCATCCCAATCATCACAAATACTGAAGAAGACCTACTGGAACACACACGAACCCAAGATTCACATAGAAATCAGTCAAGTTTGGTGAAGAAAAAAATCATGGTTTGGAGTTACATTCAGTATGGGGGCGTGCGAGAGATCTGCAGAGTGGATGCCAACACCAACAGCCTGAGATATCAAGACATTTGTGCTGCCCATTACATTCCTCTACTAAATTCTTCAGCAGGATAGCGCTCCTCCTCATACTTCAGCCTCCACATCAAAGTTCCTGAAAGCAAAGAAGGTCAATGTGCTCCAGGATTGGCCAATCCAGTCACCAGAGATGAACATTATTGAGCATGTCTGGGGTAAGATGGAGGAGGAGGCATTGAAGATGAATCCAAAGAATCTTGATGAACTCTGGGAGTCCTGCAGGAACACTTTCTTTGCCATTCCAGATGACTTTATTAATCAGTAATTGGAGTCATTGCAGAGATGTATGGATGCAGTCCTCCAAGCTCATGGGAGTCAGACACAATATTCATTCTTTTTCCACAGCACCATGACTTTATATTCTGGACATTATTTCTGTTAATGACGAGAATTTTGTCTAAGAAAAGTCAGACGTCCTAAATAAATAATGAAAAATCAAGGCATAATCATATTTTTTTTTTGGTCAAATAAGCATAATTTAGAGGCTTTTTCCTTTCATATAAGCCACTTCTGATATCAAATGATCAACTAGAAGTCAAGTTATTATTTGTTCTTACTAAAACTTGGATAGGCGACAAGACTTTTGTCAGGTAGTGTATATGTATGTATATCTATATGTATGTCTATATACAAATGTATTCTTTATTTAAGCCTTTATTTACATGCCAAATAAGTGAATATTTTCAGCAGCAACACCTATATTGGACAGGTTGATTAAAGTGTCGTAATCAAAATTAAATAAATAAAAAATTCTAGAATCACAAATATTTTATAATTATTTAAATAAGTATCACCTGCTTGTCATTTTAAAAATGTATAGAAAACAGCGTCAATGAATAAAACACATTTCCAGAAGTTTTTCTGAAACATTTGGAGTGAATATTGAGCTTTATCTATTTTAATAAATCAGTCACTCACTTGTCATATATTGATTTTTCTCTCTGTGTCTGTCGTGCAGGTATGCTAATGTAGCTTGTGAGTTGTTGACGTGCGATGTGTCCCTCATCAATGATAAAGTGGGTGGAGACGAGTCTCTGCTGAACACACTGTACAGCTTCCTGGAGCAGAAGCCGCCGCTAAACCCCCTGCTGGCCTCCTTCTTCAGCAAGGCCATCGGAAACCTCATTACCCACAAGGCAGAGCAGGTGCACAAACATGCCCCACTGTGTTCAATCGAAAATCTTGCATGTGTTTCAGCTTTATATCTAGATTATTTGACTTATTAAAAACATATACAGTTGAAGTCAGAATTTTTAGCCCCCCCTCTATATTTTTTCTGGTTAACGAAGAGAAGATTTATTCAACACATTACTGAACATAATAGTTTTAATAACTCATTTCTAATAACTGATTTATTTATATCTTTGCCATGATGGCAGTAAAAAATATTTTACTTGATATTCTTCAAGATACTAGTATTCAGCTTCAAGTGACACTTAAAGGCTTAATTAGGTTAATTAGGCAAGTTAGGGTAATTATGTAAGTCATTGTATAATGATGGTTTATTCTGTACACAATGAAAAAAAAATTGCTTAAAGGGACTAGTAATATTGTCCTTAAAATAAGTTTTAACAAATTCAAAACTGCTTTTATTCTGGCTCTGGGTGCTCCGGTTTCCCTCACAGTCCAAAGACATGTGGTACAGGTGAATTGGGTAGACTAAATTGTCCGTAGTGTATGAGTGTTTATGGATGTTTCCCAGAAATGGGTTGCAGCTGGAAGGGCATCCACTGCGTAAAAACATGTGCTGGATAAGTTGGTGCTTCATTACGCTGTGGCAACCCCAGAATAATAAAGGGACTAAGCCAAAAAGAAAATGAATAAATGAATAATAATAATTAAATAAAAATAAAATAAAAAATATATATATAAACTGTACATTTAACAATCGACATTTATGGATTTAAACATAATAATAAATAATAATAATCAGTATATTTGTAATGATTCATTTATAATCATCTAGATGTGTGTGTGTGTGTCTCTCTCTCTCTCTCTCTCTCTCTCTCTCTCTCTCTATTTGCCTTATTGATCAGGTGATCAGTTTCCTAAAGGACAAGGAGGATTTTTTAGGGCAGGTGTTGAAACATTTGGACACGTCGGCTATGATGGATCTGGTGCTGCGTCTCATTAGCAGTGTGGAACCTGTCAGTTTCAGACAGGAAGTGCTTACTGTGAGTGCGCATACACTTATATAATGGACTGCACTTATATAAACTTTGTCCGATGGAAGAATCAACAGTTGAAATAATTAATATTTCTTGATGGTTTTCCAATATTTTTAATATGTATATGCAGTTACCCAAGATGGCGGCTTAGAGAACGGTCACGTTTATCAGACGGTGCATGCTTTCCCTGCTGAAAAATCCAGCTTAAACCAGCCTAGGCTGGTTGACCAGCTAAAACCAGCCAACCAGCTTAGGCTGGTTTAAGCTGGATTTTTCAGCAGGGTTGAGATTTAATTATCATTATTTTTGCCGGAGGAGCTCATTATCCTCTGTGTTATTTGCAGCACACTTTGCTATGAGTTTAGACGCATACTTTTTGAAGCAATCGATCGCCATGCCTCAACAGAACACAAAAAAATCCAACAAATCAGAGACAGAAA